GATCTATCAATACAATTTCTAGGAACATTCTAAAAACAGTTGATATCAGAATCATATCTGCATTCCGATTTTCATTACAGCATTATTCAAAATAGCCAAGACAAAACAACTCAAGTATTCCTCAATAGATGAATGGAGAAAAACATCTACTACATAAGCAATGGAATATTATTCAGCTTTAATAAAGAAGAAAATCCTGCTATTGCATCAATGTGGATGCAACTTGAGGTCATTATGTTAGTGAAAAATCCAGCCACAGAAGAGGACATAGATATTTTTAAATATAGTGTCCTCTTCTACCTAAGACAGTATACAAAGGCATTTCTTTTACTGTCCAAGAGAGGGCCTAAAAGAAGTGACACCCAGTAACAATGAACATACCAAGTGCCCAGAACTTTTTTTTTAGCATCAATCTCCAATGATAGGAATTAGGTCTCTTTAGATAAATGGCTGCCTCTGTGACTGGGATAGAAACTAACAATATGAGCCCAGAGCATCTTGTAGCAACAGAAAATAAAGAGACACTAAAAAAATTGAAAACCCACATTAATGAAGCTGTGGTAAATAAGTATAGGAGCCAGATCAATGCTTTCATACTGGCCAAAGCTGGGGGACAACTTGAAAAAGAATATAAATTGTATTTTAGGATGATATAAAATATAAAGCAAATATCCATTAATTCATACAGATAAAAATAAAGCTTTTAATAATTTAACAAGTGGAAGACACCAAATACCTGCTCCAGAAGAATATCAGACAATTTTAATACATACTCTGATCTCAAGGAGAGAGAACATAACTCCTCACTCCTGAAGTGTGATGTATGTAGTGATTTCTTTCCAAAGAGAATAGTATGGACAAGAGAGAGTCAGAAATAACTCCACATTGGAGAAAACTAACAAGCATTGCCCCAGCCAAGTGACCAAAGTCAATATCAACAGTCAAAAATCATGTTGGAATGTTGCCCCTTGGTATGATGTGATAAAAATAGCCTATTAACTCTATGATCTTCTTCCCCCATACTTACAATCATAGTTTCATTATGAGAAAAATATCAGACAAATTTGTAGGTGCATCCTACAAAATGCCAATTCTGCATTCTTCAGAATTGCCAAGAACGTTTAAAACAAGGAAAAGTCTGAGAAACTGCCACAGCCAGGGGATCCTTAGAAGAGATGACAATTGAAAGTAATGTGGTATTCTGGATGGGATGCTAGAACAGAAAAAGGAATAGTGGAAACTAAAGAGATCTGCTTCAAGTAAGGACATCAATTAATATAATGGATTAATATTGAGTATGCTAATGGTGACAAATGCACCATATTAATGAAAGATGTTAAGAATGTCAGGGAATAAAATAATTTTTAAAAAAGGACTAGAGATATGGCTCAGTGATTAATTTTCTCTGGGTTTAATCCCCTCTCCAAAATGATGATGAGGATGATGATGATGATGATGATGATTATGATGTCAGGTTTATAAAGTCTCTATACACTTTTTACATGTTTTTTTATTATTATTTTGTAAATCTAAAGCAGGCAAACTGTGTTAGATAACACCAGGAATTTAAAATGAAATGTTTGTGTGGGATATATCATAACAGGGTTTGAAGATGCTGGGAAAATGGAATAATAATGGAATACCTTGGAGAATGAAAGATGAAACTGGTTGATCTAGAGCTCACTGGGCCTTTAACCATCTTGTAGTCCAAGGGAGTGAAATCTGAGAAGGAAACACATTTGAGTATGCCTAGCTACTGCCTCTAGAGAAAGCCATTGGTCAAGTAGAAACTCCAGCCAAGGTGTGTGCTCCTTTATAGTAGATGAAAAGACGTTTAGTTTACCAAGGCATCTGGATTTCATTGTACATTGGAAGTGACTACAAAGGAAACGCTAAGAATAAAAGGTTCTGGTAGAAACTATGTAGAGCTACCACATTTTGTTTAGATTTATTCAGAGTTTTGAACATCCTCTAAAGAGCCCTACAGTGCTCAAGGTAATTCATTTGAACAAAAGAAAATAAAACAAAGATATGAGGTCAATAGAAAAACACTGCTGAGTTGGATAGCATCCTGAACCTGACACCAACTGGCAGCTGAATGTTGGCCTAGAGTTTAGTGGGAAATGTGGAGCAACTGTCAGTGGTGAAAGAAAAGGCAGTGGTCCAGGATTCATTGAGAAACACTGAAGCTGGTACACTAGTGGAAGAAAAACATAAAACAGTTATGCTGTTAATATGAGTATGCTGTAACAGAAATGGCATAGATGATCACATTTGTAAAATGTGATTATAAAATAATAATAGTAATTCATAAGTTGATAGTGAAAACAATTAATATTCCCCCTTCAAAAGTATTGAGAACAAGCATACAAGGACTTTTAAGAGAGAACATTTTTTACCAAATGTGTCATCTAGACCTCCTTTGTTTCAATCAAATGGTTGCCCAACAGAAGACCACTTAGAAATGATTTAGACTGAAATCTAGTATTATTATACATCAACTCTAGCAGACAGACAGACCTATGAAACTGTTGTACTGTTTATTAGTTAAAAGCATTTCGCATACCTTTCCTAGCATGTCTCACTGGATCCAATGTTATAAAAAAGCAAATGCCTATCTTCCAGCTTCCCACCCAACTTTGTCCAATTTTCTGTAAATGTTTTATAAAAAAAAGTCTATTAAAAGAAAAATAAACATTTTCAATTGAATTTTAGATAATTTATTTCTTTACATATAAAGACATATCCTCAAAATATTTACTCTGCAACCATAAAACCCCCATTTTTAAAAACTCTTTGTCAATAGATCCTATGCTCAACAAAATTGTTTATATTATCATCCTCACAATTGTTTTAGCTATAGTGTGCTGTAGTATATAGACAGTGCTTTGCCTGTTGACACTCTTCCTTCTGGAAGCAACAATCCCCTCCTTCAGGGAACTACGCTCATTCACTCCACCCCTAAAACATAATTCCATACACACTTGCCCATGTATTGCATTTTCTTGTTCCATATTCCTGACTGGTTAAGGGTTCACTAAATTTTATTTAGGGCCCATAAAATCCATGAAGTTCTCCTGAAGTGCTTCACTTCAAATGTATTAGGGTAAAGTGTGGCACTTTTACAAATTGAAACTATGAATTGTTTGACTCTAGTGGATATAAAGAGTATTCACACTATTTGGATGGATGAAACTTTGTGGTTTAAAGTTTCAAAAATGGTAAATGACCTTGTTTCCAACTATGTAGAAAAAGTTGTGCTGCAGTGGGAGAATAAAACTTTGCAAATCGTTAGCAGCAAGAGGAAATAGCAGTAGTGTCCTAGCTCTGGTTGTTTCTGTCATGCAATGTGTACCTACCCTCTAGTCCCACATGGGTCCCATTTTCTAGAACAAAGTCTAATTACCTTTGACTTAAATTTGTCCAAGTTTACTTTGGATTCTTGAAACCAAAGACTTAATGACTAAACTTAGTGAAGACGTTAGGCTTCCTTTTTTAGAGATAGTAACTTGATAGATTTGGAGTCCTAATTCTTGAATTCTTCACTAAGCACTCAACCTCTACCTAATTTGAGCCATGTAATGAAAAAAAAAATGCTACATGTTATACTCAATGTATAACAGGATTGCACACTGTAGAATCAAATGGAAATAGAAAAACTGAAAAATGTCTTCAAAAATAAGATGATAAAAAAATAAGATGATATCGAGAATTTTAGTAGAAAGAGCCTTCACAATCACATGTGCATATATTATACATGTGTGTATATGTATGCAAGCATACATATTTTGTGGATTCACATAGTGTGCTATGACAAGATATATAATCCTGCCACTGACTAAACATCAGATATATGCTAAACTTTCCCATGTGTCATGAGAAAATAAATCATACATTTCACAGTGATTGTTTAAGGAAGCTTAAAGTAAAATTGAATTTATTACTCTTTTATTTAAGACTGCCTAAATTCACTGGTATACCATTCCTTCGCATAATGGTGCATACTGTGTCTCTGACTACAACAAACCCAGAGAAGTCTCTAAATTGCTTTGGGTGGAATATCTGACCCTGTCCTTGTGTTTACTGCTTTCCTTCCTGACTCTGCAGGAGTCAGTGGCTGAACATGAGCACGTGTTACCTCTTTCCTCTTTTTCTGCTGCATGAACATTACACATTTCCTTTCACCTTTAGTTTCAAAGGAGAGTTCATTTTGTTTTTAAGAGCTGCTTGTATTTTCCCATTATTATTTTGCTCTGGATCTTTAAATCATCTGGAACAGGAAAAGCCTCACTCTCCTGCTGAAATCTGTTTCCGTTCAAGGGTAAGAAGGTTAGTTCACTACTTATAGTCACTTTTCTGTGAGACTCTTAAAACAGATCAGTCTAAATTGGGGAGGATGAACAGGCAAAGGGGACTGGCTGAAATGTTAATCATTTTGGGGGGGGTCTACAGTTCTGTCTGTCTGGTAGCTCATAGAAAACCTGGCTAGGAAATGAGTTATAAACAAATATGTCGCAACGGAAACAAAGTCGGAATTTCTGAAAATGTGTTTCCTCTTTAAAAGAGGGATCAGAGGAAAGGGAGAAAGAACTATTAACTGAAAGTTGCATTAAGAACATAACAGAAAAATACAAGAAAAATAAGAATAGCTGTAAGAACTATGGAAAGTATGATTGCACATGAAATGGATCTTAATACACACAGCTGTACAGATTAGCAGTTACCCATGGCTCTTAGTCACTGCCCCTTGAAATTGTATTTTCAGTGTTGAAATATGACCTATATAATTGAATATTATTAACTTTATTTACTAATAATGTTTTTTTTTCCATAAATTTAAATGTATCCTACACATTTTAAATAAGATTCATGGCATATATGAGTCTTAGAGATGTACATGCGTATGTATTTAAAGTCACAGAAATTTGCATTCCAGCAAGGCTAGAGATGGGCTCACATTAGCACTGTATTTACTGGTATGTTTTGATTTTGTATTTCAGAGACGATTTATGCAATGAAGAAAGAACGCATATTTTGGGCTTCTGTATGTCTGCTGCTTAGTCTTGCCCCTATGCCTCTTAATGCTGTTCCTGAGGAAGATGAAGAACATACAAATATCACAGGTAAAATGTTACAAACATTTATCTTGTTTAGTTGGTTAAACTTCTCAATTTTTTTTTTCTTTTCCTTCATGTAGAAATTTTTTCTTTTTAAGTCGTATTTCCCTCTGGACACCTCTTATACGTGATATGATTATTTTTTAAACTGAGTCCAAAATCAAATCACCAGAGCAAGAAAGTCTCTGGGCTACAATATTAAACACTGAAGTCGCTCTGAAATATTGCAGGGAGCAAAGTGCTGAAGAAACACCATGCCACCATTTAACTGGGAGAAAGTAGTGTGGGAAGGAAAAGGAAACTACAGATACTGGAGGTTTCAGCCATTCTCTCCTTATTGCCCATATCTCCAAAAAGAGAATTTCAGAAAGGAAGCTAATGTAAGAATCTAGTCTGGAAGAGTTCCACAGGACCTTGTAATGAAAGTTAGTTCCAATCCCCAAAACACTCAGTATAAAAATGAACACACTTATAATGAAAAATAGAACAAGGAAAAGGCTGCATAGCATTTGTTATCTAGATTTATACTTTATATAAAAAGTTATATTTTGTAGCAAATTAGTAAATTATTGACAGACATCTCAAACTATTGGTAATAGAGAATATTAACCTTGTGATAGCCTCTATCATTTATTTTGTAGTTTGTGATAGACATTTCCATAAATACATATTTCAATTTCACATCTCTAACCACTTTAAATTAATGATTTTCAGTGTATTCCCTTTCAACAAAGATGTATGAATACATTTTGTGTGTGCCTGAAATGGGTTGGTTCAAAGCAAACAGTAATGATTGAAACCAGATACTTAAGAATCTCACAGTTTCAGAGGGGAACCTGGAGGGTAGACAGGCCATTTCTGTATAATGTAGTGCACAAAGCGAAAGAGCATGCAGAAGCTGCTGCTCTTGATACAAAGAGAAAGCAACTCATCCAAACTTGGTGATCTGAGAACTTGGCTTGGAAATACAGTGTTATAAAAATTTCCTAGATATTCAAGAAAATAAAAACCATTCTATTCTTTGCACAATAGGAATGTGGACCTTATGAGATGATTTTTAGTCCTTTATTCAACTCTTTTCTCAAATGGGAATGAGATAAGTAATGACATCCTGAAAGTTAGGGGGACAAGGGAAGTTGAGGACAATATCCCAACAAGATAAAGACAGGCAAGCTCATCTTGGGAGGTACAAAGAGAATGGGTCCCAGTGTTCTCTCTGTCCAGTCTCCCTCGAAGGACTGAGAAAATGTATGCCAGTTATGTAGGAGCTGCCACAGTCAGGCAGGAAATTATTGCTGATGCCACAGTCATCCAGGAAACCAGAATTAGCCTGTCAATAATTAAGTCAAATCTTAAAGTCAATACAAGATAGCTTGCTGACCTAGATGGAAAGGAAACGATTTTGATTATAGCATAGACTTGAAGACCTCCTGGCTTACTTGTTACATAGTCTTAGTTTTGTTTTTTGTTTGTTTTTTTCTGTTTTATTTTTCATTGATCTTGCAACACCATGATACCACATCTGAATGAATTCAATTTTGGAGATACACCTTGTCACATGATGCCAAGATCATACCATCACTTTATAGAAATATATTGTTTCATTGAAATAAGGTATTATCATTTACAGAAAAATATACAGAATTTGTACTGATTTTTTTAAGCCTTTGGACTAGGAGACACAAGATTAGCCAAACACATTTAGAGAAAGGAAGATATGTTTCAGCAGAATCAGAACTGAGCAGGCCTGTGTTCACAGAGGTGGTTTTCCATTCATACCTTTGTGAAATTAAAAGTTATTTAAACCCTCTGAACTCCAGTGTTCCAAATCGTAAATAAGTGTTGTCATAACTTACTTCCACATGGTTGGAAACAGCATAAAGGCATCTGGCACACTTTCCTGGCAAAGAGAATCTATCTGTATTGTTCCTTTCAATAAAAGTTGAAATCTTTAGTCAGAGAGCCAAATGGCAGGTGGCCTCTGTTACCTGAGAGCTCTAGATTCCCAGAGGAGTGACCCAAGGATGAGAGTTCTAACAGTCAGGACATGACATTTCCTCAGGCACCAAATAGTTTACTGAGCCTTTGATCCAACATCCCAGGACACATTCTCAACTGTGGAACACAAAATACCTGGAATCAACTATAAAAATAGTTGAATGCAAACAATAATTTTATTTGTGTGGCTACCCCAGATTCAATTACTATGATATTGCCCCTGTGATCAGAAGCAGATAATCCCGACTTATAGACATTTTCTTCAGGTGTCAATTTCAAGTCTCATGAAAGCTAGCCTTAATTCCCTCAGATAGGCATCCTGTTACAGACTTGCAAGGCACTCTGAATCTCCCAAATATTTATGTGAGTCTGCAAGGTTTACATACTCCATGAGAGGGGTTGCTGCTATCCAATCTACTGTTCACTTGCTGACATGCCACAATGCCTAACAGATACATGATCAGCAAAGGATTATTAACATTCAAAAAATTTATCTGAGTAAGCAATGGAAAACAAGGAAGACTGCCATCTCTTTCAAGTGGAGTGGTGAAGCACTGTGTGTCAGACAACACACAGAAATAATCCTCCATTTTAGGGATGCTGTGTTTAAGTATGGATCACAAAGTCAATGCATGAAAAGGTATTCTAATACAAAACTTCTGTTAGAAATGCCTTAAACTGTGCATGGCAGTAAGGAATAATAAGAGGAATGATATTAATAAAATACAGTCAATTAAAGTTGATAGTGTTTCTTTAGCCATTTGCTATGGAGTTATCACCTTTCATTATTGAAACTATTTTTATTTTTATAGAGTAAATTTAAGAAAAGTATAAATAATTGAGCAAAAATTTTATAATTAAATCATGCCATAAATAAGTCATAGAGGTATGTGACAATATCACACAGATATTAAGAATGAGTGAGATATGTGCTGTAAAACTGCTTGGGAGTTAATGCTACATCCATCACTTATAGTGTGACTTTGAGAAATATTTGCTTAATTTATGCAATGCTATTTTATAATTTGTAAAATGAAGATAATGTCAATCTCAGAAACTTGAGATCATCAAATGATATGATTATTTAAAAATCTTTGTATTAGAATATCTTTTTGTGTGTACCTCTTTGTGCTATGTAATTACTCAGTAATACTAGCTATTGTTGTTACAATAACTACATAAGAACGCTTTGGTTTGCAATCTTTTACTTTGTGGTACACTGACACACTCTTGTGGTGAAGTTATTGAATAGCAGGCTGAATCTGGGGCAGGTGATTCCAGATGAGAGCTATAAAAGATGTAGCTGGATGATAAAGACTATCAACTATATTGAGAGAAAGCAGTGTAACTATTAATGCAAATGAATCTCATTTAAATCTTTGAGTAATAAGAATGTTTTTCCTGAATATATTTGGAAATGTGGGTATTATGTGTTTACCTGTGTATATCAAAGATGTTGATCTGTACTAAAGGAGTCTACCTGAAACACTGCTTCAATTACTGGAGTCTCTAAAGTTCTAAAGTCATCTTTATTTGGGAGTAAGAATCCATAGTATTCTATGGAAGACCTGTAAAAATTTCTGAGTTAACAGTTTATAGCTATAAGATTCAAAACACCAGGTTATTTTTATTCCTGGTTCATTTCTTTAAAGTATTTAAGCAATTCTGAGGTCTGATTCTGACATCAGATATTTATCAAATCAATGAGACAATTTTTTTCAGTACCCCCAAAATGTGTGCAGAGCATATAAGCTCATAGTTCCAATTCTTTAAGTTAACTGTTGGTCTCCTGTAAGTCAAATATATCAGTTTGGGTCCTTAGGCAAAACTCTAGGTTTTCACAGCTTAGCAATTCAAAATATGAGTTATAGCATTCTAAAATTCTTAAGACAGGGAATATGAACAGAATTTATAATTATTTATAAATATATCATATCAAATATACCATTTCACAATTATAACCAGTATTTAAAGGGAGAAAATATTTTCTCCCACAGGTCATTTTTTCTTACATATGGATATTGATCTATGGAAAATATATTCAGCAACCTTCTGAAATACAAATTCTTAATGTTTTAAAATATATAGGAAAATATTTTTGCATAAAATTTTTAAAAAATAGAAACATCAAGGACGAATAAAAGTATTTATTATGAGAAGTATGAATTTTAGTGCACATCATTAGGTTTCAGAAAGTGTGTGTGTGTGTGTGTGTGTGTGTGTGTGTGTGTGTGTGTTACTAGGGATTGAACCCAGGGTTGCTTTATCAGTGAGCTATATACCTAGCTTCTTCTATTCTTTATTTTGAGGCAAGGTCTTCTTAAGTTGCCAAGGCAGGCCTTGAACTTGCAATCCTCCTGCCTCAGCTTCCTGCCTGCTCAGAAACTCTTAATATGCCACAGAAACCTTTGGGAGACAATATTGATTTATCAGAAAAGTTTATCAGCATAAAATATTAGATAAAGAAATAGAAAAAAGCAAATGAAATTAAAACTTGTATACATTAATGAATGGTTAATTCATTATGATGGAATTATTTGCAAATATTACGTGTATTGATTAAATTTGATGACACCATGCTATAAGTAAAAAATAATCAAAAACTATATTGGTAGCTGAGTATGGTGACTTATTACTGTGATCTGTGACTTAAGAGGCTGAAGAAAGAGAACTGAAGCAAGACTGTCTCAAAATTTAAAAAGTGATAATAATAAATTTAAAAATGGCTATTTGTGTCTCAGTGGTTAAGCACCTCTGTAGTAGCAAAAAAAAAAAAAAAAAAGCACAAATACAAAACTCTTTGGGCCAATTGAATAGAAACCCAGAAAAGCTGAAATGCAAATGTTCAAATACACAGAACTCAAATTTAGTTAAAGGTTTGACCAATATTATAGCTTATTAATAAGGGAGTCCACCACAATCGTGTTTGGTGCTGAAAGTTTCCCTCTCTCATAATATCCTCTGTCACATATTAGTTCTATCTTATCAAATTTGGGGTCTGAAAAATTTATTATTCTATCATTCCTGTAGTTCAATTTATTTTATTTGAAGACAAAATGCCAATTCTGTTATCAAATAGATCAAAACAGTGATCAAAAGTTTTAAAGGTTGTATTGGTAGTTAAGAGAAAATTTACATGTCCATAAATAATCATTGTCACTTATATCAAACAGCACAACAATACAAAATTCTGATAGAAATCTCTGTGTGTGCGTGTGTGTGTGTGTCTGTGTGTCTGTGTACAAACACTCAATACATAGACAATATCTGAAAAGTATTCTATAGCATTCTTTGGTCATTATTCGGTTGTACCAATCACAATTTTATTTATTTATTTTTTAGTTTCTTTTCAGTTTTTAAAAATGATAAATGGGATGATATGTATTTTCTGTGTATAACATGATGTTTCAGGGTTGGGGCTGTAGTTCAATGGCAGAGCACTTGCCTTTCACGTGTGAGGCACTGGATTCGATTCTCAGCATCACATAAAAATAAACAAATAAAAGTAAAGCCATGCTGTCTATCTACAATTACAAAAATTCTTGAAAAACATAACGTTTTAAAGTATATGTGCAATGTGGAAGGATTAAATCTAGCTCATTATATGTGCAGTGTGGAAGGATTAAATCTAGCTCATTAATCCATGCCTTACCTCACATAGTTACCAATTTTTTTGTGGTGAGAATACTTTACATCCACTTTCAGCATTTTTCAATAAGAAACTACATTATTAGCTAGAATGACCATGCTGTTCAATTGAGCTCCTGAATTCACTCCTCCTGACTAACTAAAATTTTTATGATTTGACCACCAGATCCCCAACCCATCCCCAATCAACTATAATTTTAAAGCTATCTCACTGGAAAATTCTGTAAACAGAACTAGGTGTTTATTAATAGTACTGGACTTGATAAAAATAATGTAATTTAAAAACTTTCGTTGTTTTCTTTTTTGTGAATATCCTTCCCATAATAGGAAGTATTTCTGTGACTAATATAAGTAAATATTTAGGAATCAAAATTATAATTCAAGGTCAAGAAATTTCTTCATTTCATTTAAAACAGAAAGATTTGTTTTTACTTTTGCAACATTACTAAACATTTTATTAAAGATGTTTCATGTGTAAAAAGTGACACATGTATGGATTAGGAAGAGAAACTAAAAAAATTGCCCATTAGCATTTGTCTTTAAAACCTGAGTCAAAAGCAGAGGTCTCTATTCCACTGAGTGAACACATTCTCTTAGTTAAGTTGCCTTATTGTCACTGTTGAATTCCATGTCTATCAACTGGTAAATATTTAACTAATTATAATTATCAAGAGTCTAGAAAAGATATACTATATTTTCTTTAATAGTTGATGAAAAATAAACTTTAACAGTTGATAAGGTGAATCTCATTTAGTTAATAAACCTTTACCTTTTGGATAACTAAATAACTTGTCATGTTTTGCAATGAGCCTGCTTTATTGTTGTCATACTTTCCCTAAAATAGGAACATATTTAAAAAAATGAAAAGAGAGAACATTATTATGGCTTTGGTGGAGGAGTACATGTTTTTTTTTTTTTTTACATTGCCTGTTTTATTTATTTTTCCATTTTTACCTTCTAGATACTGAGTTGCCACCACTGAAATTGATGCATTCATTTTGTGCATTGAAGGCAGATGATGGGCCATGCAAAGCTATGATGAAGAGATTTTTTTTCAATATTTTCACTCAGCAATGTGAAGAATTTGTATATGGGGGCTGTGAAGGAAATCAGAATCGATTTGAAAGTCTGGAAGAGTGCAAAGAAAAATGTGCAGTTGGTAGGTTTCTGACCCAAGTTCTTGGTGGCTACTGAGTCTAATCATAGAGTTGATAA